TAATACTGCTATATACGTAGCAATTAATATTCTGTACAGTTGCTCCAAATACTTAGAAACAGTTAGCTTTCAGATAAATAAAAAGTAACTATATCCTAGTGAAATTCCTTCTCGCGCAAAAGCAACTTTCAAAGCAATTTCTTGAGAATTTCTGATTAGACTTATTACATTTTCTCTTCTAAATTAAAAAAAAAAAAAAAAAAAAAAAAAAAAAAAAAAAACAGATTATTAGTTTCTTTCAGTATTGTTCCATGTTCTCACTAGTTGTCAAAAATTACAAGTGAAATAGCAGCTAACCCTAATCGACTTGCAGCTTTCAGAAAAGAGGCAAATTCTCAGTTGCTCTTCCCAAAGTGAGAATCTGTTTTGATTCTCGGAGGGGACATAATGTTCCTAGGCATAACGGCCTCTCTCGATCCCTTTGTCTTCCACTTACTCATTTAATAATCTCATTGCAGAACATTCGCGCACTGCGCAAAACTAGAGCAGGATTTATACCCCATTATGTCCCTTCCCTCATAAACATGACATACGCAAACGACCATTCGAGTTTTGCCATACGTGCCGGGGCATGCCTTCGCCAATAAATCCGTTCTCTTCGAACACAAGAGGGAGATTTTCGAGATTAGCATAAAAGTGCATTTCGCCTGACAGCGCTTTTACTGAAGGTTCTGAACGGCTTTTGTTTCCATTTCTGCCGAATTTTGTGTCGTAAAAGATGGAAATTGGGCGATCGCTATGCTAATGTGTTCGCATTCTGTTTGGTTTCTCCATCTTTTGAAAGTTTCATAAATGTAAGCTATGTCGTAAACATGTACAGGCTTGAGAGATGTGTTTCTTCCTTTTAACTAAACATCAACGTATTCTTACTCAGACAGTTTGTGTTTAATGCTTACGATACAGCTTTTGGTTTGCTTAACTTTGCTCAGTTCGATTGGATGTAAATTGTTAGGAAAATTATTAATTATTACATGTACTTACTATTCAAAATCTTTTATCTAAACTTCCTGAGAACTTTACATGTAGTAGGAACAGAATATAACGTTAATGAAAAATAAATATTTAAATTTTAATTTTTATTCTGTACACTCATTAGGCTAAATCTTTTGAAATAAATGTAGCATGTGTTTAATTATTTTTCTTATTTTATATTAGATTTTTTAATAGAACAATAATCGCACTTATGAATATTATTCACTTCGGTTTTTAATTATAATTTTTATGGTACAATAACTATAATTATTGTTGTATAATTTTCTTTATTAATTAGCTTTAGAACCGTATTAATGTCAAAAATTAAATTGGAGAATTATAAAATTATTGGCTGCTTTGTTGATTGCGGCAAAGCATGTTAAGACTCTCTGCTTAAGAAAATGTGTCTTCATGTAGGACTTTCTGAAGGAATGTGTCTCGTCTTCACGTTGGAAATGATCTTGTGAAAGAACACCGGAGCTATAGTTTGTAACAATGGACAAGTGATAATGAGTCGAGGCTCCTTTTAACATCTGCTGTTTCAATAACGATTCGAACTCCGTTTAACATCTGGCGGGACTAAGGAATACGAAATATTCCTACGACCGTTAAAGAATATCATAGTTAAAATATTGCGGATGTTATGATGTAGGTGTATTCTTTTGCCTGTGTTCGAAAAAGATGTATGTAAGCCCAGAGAGATCTATATGTTATAGGTCTACATAAGAGTTTTTTATGTTGTATGTGGCTCAGACTTTCTTATGAATAATAACGTGCAACTACATCCAGCGAACCTGGTTGATGAATTTCTGGAAAACTAAGATATTCGAATTCAATACAAAATTTGAGGAGGCACACTTTGAAAGAGTTATTTGTGCATAAAAATTCTCTTTTTAGAGATATCACTGCTTTGAAGATCTTAAGTGGAGGAGTTCAAATCAATCTCAAGCCCTAATTAACCACACAGCTGATAGTAAGAAATCCCCTTTGGTACATTTGTACGTATTAGGAGAAATCTTCTTAATTTAAAAAGTCTATATTTGCTTATGAGTTTTACACTTTCTTTTACATTTGTTAACAGGTGTTACTTTAATTCTATTAATATTGTTTCGTATGCATCCATTTTCCATTTTTCGGTTTCTAGTATTGTATCAAGTTGTTTCTTTGTCACCCTAAAATAAGTTCCTTCAGTTTTTCTAAAGAATTTTTTAGAAATTTGTGTTTCTATATCTGTAAAAATAATTCTGAATACCGTGTGTATTTCTTCTGCTTAAAGAAAATATGCGATTTCCATAATACATAATTGCCCAATTTTCTAAACCTAACATATACTTTCGTAACTCAAGCAACAGAGCAAATAAAATTGGGAAAATTAATTGCGAATGCAGATTAAACTGGAATACATATGTTAAACTAAATAGAATTAGTTCTGATAAACCTATCAGAAGATGCAAGAATAATAGGAACATTCATGATAGTAAAGATAATTATAACTTTTGTTTGATAGAGCGAAGAAGATGGCAGGGTTAACGATAAGATCTAGGTCACCAACAATCGCAAGATAGCAGTTATTAAGCAGAGAAAAGCCTTTAATACTCATTTTTTTTCTTCCTATGATTCACGCACATCTTTAACTACTTATTTAATGACGTATAGGCAAGGCTTGAATCATTCAAAGAAATATAATTTTGAATAATATGCAGTGTGCCCTTGGTTAACAGACATTAGGGTTTCATTGTGGTTGCACACCACCTTCAAAGCCCTTTTTCGTAACGGGTGAACGGATTAATAGTCTATGTGCAGAAAAACGTATCAAAGTCTGGCGAATCATAGAAATATTAGAAACAAAATCTGGATGAATAATAAGGCAAAAAAAGTTAGCTGTGAATATATCATTGCGCATATCTTATGATATTTCTGCACGGTGAAATGGGACAATGATATTCATTCTACCTCCTTCTCGAATAAAATTTCATTTTGTGTTTTTGATATTTCAAAAAATGCTTTTCCGTTTTTTAATTAACTTTGTAATACGTTTTATAAAAGCATTGCAATTTCTGATATATTATTACTATTATTTTTATTAATTGAAGCTATGAGATTGACAAAAATTTCATCTAGCCAAAAGTAATCGTAGGAAAAATTTTTGCTTGTTTAAAAAGGACTGATGCAGATCAGCTAGCTTTCGCCAGGACAGAAACTTTCACTTGTCTACACCTAAAACTGCTGAGGTAGAAGATCACTTTTTGGGTCTCATAAAGATGATGGTACATCTAGCCGCGGTAGAGTTGTAAAAGAATTTTTGTTTTCCTTTTTAACTAGTTGCAATATCTTGAATGATGCAAATTATTAGCAAATATATTTTGCTGCTCTGGTTCATCGTCCATGATGGTGCACTTCTTCTAGAACTGTTTTATCAATAAATTTCTGTAACATGTGAAGAAGATAATAGGCTTTATGTCGAGCATAAAGAAAGGATGTCTTGAAATACTATCAGCCTGTAATAGAGCTCTCTGGTATATATTTTTAAACTCACGAAAGCGTTGTAAACCAACTTTGAAAAATATCCATAGTGACATAGAATTTCACATTACATTGCACAAGAAAACTAAATTTTAAGATTGCTTTCATTTCTGTTTGGGAGTTATACAAAAGCAGTAGTTTTAATTTATAATCTCCACTAGCGTTGTAGAGACATTAGGTATTTTTTGGATGATAAAAAATGAGCAACACCTTCGCCGAGAATCGGACCCCGGTCCTCTGGAATACGCGCCCAGCGTGTAGGCCACCACACTACGAAGGCATGCTAAGAAGGCGGGAGATATACCCTTATAGCGTTACCACCAAAAAAAAAAAATTATTAAACTCGTTTAGTTACTTTGAATCTTAATGCTCGAAAAAAAAGAGAATACCTCCAGTGTCACCAACATTATGCCTGTAGAAATAATTGAAAATTATAAAAGAGTTTTCATGTCTTCTTCCATTCCTAATTCGTATGTTGATTTAAATTTTTAAATCTTTCAATTCATCTTCTGCAATAATTTTTACTTTTATCGTTCTTTTGTTTTTGAACTTCTCTGCATTTAATTGATATCTCTGCATTATGTTTTATTTGACGAATATGTGATTTAGAAAGAAACTTTTTATACGACGCTTCGATTTACATTCAGATAATGTACATAAGCTTCGCTGTTGTTTATTAACCATATGGAACTCATTTGAACATTTTTAAACCAATTTGAATGTTGTTTTCTGTTATGTGAGAATTAACTTTTCGTTAATAATTTAATTCCGCCGAACTAAAATTTTTGACACTGTGAAGAAGTCTGTTCAGAAATGTCTTTATGCGAATGGAAGGCATTTGCAATATCTACTAGAAGAAAAAAACCGCAGAATAAGGCGTCTCTCTTTTACTGCACAAAAATTTCTGTGCCACCCAATATTTCTAATATAGTTGCTTAGTATGATTAGAATTGGTACAAATATCGCTGATTTTCCTTCATTTAAATCTTTTTATGTCGTCTGAGTTTACCTGATACTTTGCATTTCAAAAAATGGTTTCTTTATTTCCACACTGTATTTTTTTTCTTTTCTCAGCGTTCATTTTGTTTTATTTACTTCATCAATACAAATCGTATTTTTTAGATGAAACCGATATATTCTTGAGAAGTTAAATTGCTCTGGAGGAGTCGCTTCATTAATTTCGGTAGTTAAATAATTGAGGAGTTTTATGTTGTAATAAACATAAATTTATTTTATTCCGTTCGCTTTATCAGCCCTTTGATTTTATAGTACAAGTCTTTCGGTTAAAATTTTGATGTAATTTTTACCTGCAAAAGTTTGAGATATACAGTTACAGTATGCCTAAAAATGTAAATAATTTAATTTTTATATTATGTCATTGTTTTAAAAACCTTATGTTACAAAAATGTTACTTTGACAAAAATGTTTTATCAGCGTGTAATAGATTCTGGTAATGGTAGAATATTGAATAAACCTAGCTGAATAGATTGCTTTTTCCTCTGTAGTTTTCCGGCTGGTGCTGCAGTGCACGGGTAAAGTTAATGCCGAAGTGGAAGTTTTCATGAATTTCAACATCACGATGGTGCCCCCTTCCTCTAACATCACTCACTTAGTGCTCAAAAGGAAAAAAATATGCCTTAAAGGTAAGCCTGTCATACCTTGAATATTTTGTAAAATGCAGTATGTTTTAAGAGTAAAAGACTGATTATTGTCATATTAGCATGCATATTTTATTCCAGTTCTGGGTGGCATATTTTTTCATTATTTTAATTTAAAAAAATACTATCTTGTTCTCTCTTGTGTTAAATTTGAAATTGCTACCACTTTTTTTTTTTCTTTTTTATCCCTTACGTCAAAGTTGTTCTTTATTATTTCATAAAAAATATATATAATTTACTTCATTTTTTTTTTCTTGATTGATGAACGAATCAGTGCATTTATGTGAATTAATGTTTTTTAAAGCTTTAAGTGGTAGTTGTTAGTAAATTGTAAGTTTAAGGATTGGAAATTTACCTTCACATTGCTCTAACCTTTTTTATTTATACAAAATATCATCTGATAAAATAAAATACTCGATTAAAATGGAATATCTCAAATTTCCAAGGTTGATATTTGATGGGCAAGGAAATGAAGTATGTTGGTTGATTTGGTTTATTTGATTATTGCAAAGCACTCATGGGCTATTTGTTTAAGAGAAGGAATGCCTTTGAGAAGAAATTTCTAAGGGATACTGGCTCATATACACCTTACACATGGGGAAAACCACGAAAACTCCCATGTAGTCAAAACTTTCGTTGGTATTCGAAGACCGGACTGTACTACCAGTGTTAAGCGACTTTACCATTTGGCCGCTTATAGAACTGAAGTGAGACTTCAAAACATAAAATTAATTTCACATTCTTTTCTTGTGAAACCTTTTGTCTTTTGAAAAGTCTGCGTAAACCGATGAAATTCGAAAGTTAACACAGAAATAACATCATTAATTGTTTTTTAGTCCAAAGGAGCTTTGTCCCTGAAAGACTATTGTTTTCGTTTTGCGATTTTGCGTTGGTTCACTATAAAATTCCGTTTCACTTTTCAAACTGTTGCCACCAAATGTTAGAGTCCTGCATTGTATTTGAAGAAATTAAATAATGAAAAATCTGCATAAATGTATGTATTCTTCTCGCATTGTGATAAGACAACGGTACATAGAACCATCGAATTTTGAATGACGTAATCCTACAGCGAATATAGGCATGTGGAAGCCCAAATTTGAAATTTGGATGTTGTTTTATTGTCGATTTCATATTTTGTAAATCTTTAACGAATTTTTGATTAACAAACTCAAGGATTTCAAAGCGAGCAATGGCAACGCTGTACAGAAAAAGTATTTTTATCTCCAGCGCGTGAGGCTGCGTATCGAAAATTCTAAAGATATGCTCAATTTAAAAGTATTGTGTGATATTGCTCTTGAACTGAATTTTATGGTTTAAGTTCGAAGAACGTGATATTTAATAAATAAAGGTAGCAGATAAAGTGTTGAAAAAACGCCCCTTTGGACGTAATTTAAAATCTGAAACCTTTCAGATTTTTTATTTATTTATTTATTTTTTATTTATTTATTTATTTATTTATTTTTTATTTATGCAAATGAAGGAAGAGCAGTACTTAAGTCGAAGTTCCACTAACTATGTCAGAGAGCCAGAGATTCTGACTAAAGCTTAGAGAGAGTGTAGCCAAGGCGCAGGCCTTTGAAAGCTTGGCCGTTTAGTTAGCATTTAAGGGGCCAACTCCTGTAGAATTTTGATAGCTTCTTCTATATATTTTTAGCTAAGCATTAGTTAAGTTTTATTTCTCAGTATTCTTGAGTTCAATCCCAAGTGGAGGCTTTTATGTACTTCCTGAGAAAGAGCCATCTGTAAAACCTTATTTTGAGCAATAAAGGGTAATTAACCCTTCTTGAGTTTACCTTTCTGCTTCCTGAGCTAAAGCGATTATTCGCTTGCCTGTTATCAAGGTTCCACACACTTAACTGTAAATTTTAGGTAGTAAGAAACTTATAAATATATTTTCCATTTTTCTTAAATTAATAAGAAAAAATAATAGGTTTGCCTCCTTTATCATAATCATTTTATTTAACAATACTGAATATTTATAACATGAAAACTCGTAAAATTTTTATAAAAGCTTTCCACGCACTAAATTTTTAATGCTGAAAAACTAATCTCACATGGTTTTAAGTATGGTATTCGATTTTAATTATTAACAGATTACCGTATTATATCATAAATTAAGTTATTGTATTAAATTATAAATAAATTACTGTACTTAATCCGCTGCCCAGGTAGTACAGCGATTAGTGATGTAAACCGTTGAATTGGGTCCCGACACAGGTTCATTTTCTATTTCCGTGTGGAATTGGTTACCAGCGTATCAGATGTCAAACACTATCTGCCAGATCACAGCCCTCGACAAATCAGAAAATTTTGTTAAATGACAAATTTATTAAACAAAGTAAGCACAGGTTAAACTACTGAAACAGATTACATTTACACAGATTAAACCTGAATAAAACGTAAATGACACCATATGTAAATATAAATGCAGAAAGTACATATTGCGTAGAATATACGTAGGTGCCCATGTAAAACAAATGCAAAAGAGGCATATATAAAATTCAAGATACACAAATGCATGAAGGCTGTTATTCAATTCCTCAAGAAACAAAGCTGTCACAAAAATGTGATTGATTATTGATGGAAATTGGTTATTGGCGCTGACTGCCCTTCCGATGGGCTGGTTTCGAATATCAGAGAAGACAGAAGTGTTTGTAAATATACCGTGTCTGTGCCACAAGGGCCACTCAAAATAAATAGTGAGCCGAAAGTCTTTTCGACTGTTTGGTGGCAGTGTAAGAAGCGTGGGAGACCGTCGAACCGCTTTTCGGAGTTTTCTCTCTCAAAACTAGTTCGAAACTGTACAGTTAGTGCGGTGAGACTGTACCTGTGGTGAACCTATGGCTATGGTGACATTTGGCATCTCGCCGACTTACACGCTCACCTGTATTGTAATTCACACTTCAAACTATAATCCATACACATACAGCTTTTCATTTCTGGTAAGAAAATCTTGAAGGTACTTATGAGCTGTTCAAATGTTGCATTTTCACTATGAAATGGATACACAGAAAAAATTAGCGTATTTGTTATACTATAAGGTACTTTCGTCCTCCTTTCTGTGTGCCTTCGTGGTGTAACGGTAGCACACTCGGAGCGTATTCGAGAGGTCCAGGTTCAAATCCCCGCGAGGGCATTGCTTGTTTTATTATTTCCTACTTCAAAATAACCTAATGTATCTCACCAGTGGCACGCTAACTAAAGGGGGTAACTAACTAACGCTAACTAATGATTCTTCACCACCAGGTAAGTGGTGTAACGGTAGCACACTCGGCGAGTATTTGAGAAGTCCAGGCTCAAGTCCCGGCGAGGTCATTACCCATTTTTATGTCTCCTGCTTCAAAATAGCTTAATGACTTTATAATATTCTTTCAACTTCAGAGCACTCTATTATAAATTTTAAGTAAATCGAAATGATTAATGACTTTGTTTCGTTAACAATCGATAGAAATTTATAAAACTAATATTCATTTCTGAGATCTCATTAAAAGTAAAACCTTTAAATAATATTCAAAGAAAGCCCTGTCCGTCTTTGGTGCAATTTTTATGCGTCTCTAAATCAAATTATTCTTCATGAATATGCATTAGTAAATTATAAAAAAGTAGCATTATTATGTAATGCTAGATAACATAACAGAGATAGGAAGAAGTAATAAATTAAATTAATAAATAACATTCTGTAATTTTTTTGAAATGTTTTGTATTACAATAGCATTTCAAGAATTCATAAAAGCCATCAGTTCAATATAATATAAAATAAGTTATTTTTAACTTAATATATATTAGTTAGATACAATTGTAGATTTAAATTACTAAGAAGTGCATCTATTGTTTTTAAATCGATCAGTTTGTTAAATAATTGCAGATGGATTGGGTTCGGTTATGGAGAAACACACTAGGGTTATCTGCGTAAAGGAAAGGATGCCTTTGTAGAGTATTTCCTAAGGGACGTGGCTTATATCCATGTTACACATGAGGGAAAACCACAAAAAACTTACGCAGCCGTTCGTTGTGTTTTGAATCCTCTACTGCAGATAAATTAAAAAACATAAATTTTATGTTTTTCCGAATAACAATAAGTCGCATGAAATATACACATATAAATAAAGGTCTTTTGTTTCGCGCTGTGACAATACTGGCCATGGCGAGTGGGCCTTAGCATAAAAACGTAAAGGTCCGAAAGTATTTGAAAAGCTGCGTACTAAGAATGTTTCTAATACGGAAATAAAATTTTAAAAATATATGAAATTAAGTAAAATCAGAATTCTTTTGTTTTGTAATCATTAAATTAAATGAAGTGATAGGACCGTTTAATTAAATTAATTTTCATCCATGTGCTTCTTTCCTAACAAATAGTTACATAAACAGAATCTCAACTGCGTGAAGCATTTTAATGAAATTAGGGTGGGGCGAGTAATATTAATAATTCAGAAATTAGTACATTAAAATATTTATGGGAAATTACTGCTTTCCAAATGTTTCGTGTATTAGGAATCGTAGGTGACCAAATCATGTTTATCATACTTTTCCTTTCCTTTTCTGTTTATATATATATATATATTTCCGATCAATGACAATGATTACATGTTTTAATTTTTCCTTTTACAATTGAAATATTATTCTTCGTGATGATTTAACTCTAGTCCCCGTTAAAACATTATTAACATTTTGCTTTCAAATTACTTCAAAACATCTTTCAAAATATAACTTACCAATATGGATGCACACTTTTAAAATAATTCTACTTTAATTAAACTTCGGAGATAATATAATCAATTAATCAATACTGTTTAGGAAATAAATTATATATATATATATATATATATATATTATTAGGTATTTTTGAAATGGGATTACATTCGCATGCTACTAGAAATCTTTGCCAAAGGCCAAAAAGTATGAATATTTACTAAGTATGGGTAAAATATGCTAAGGTCACTGAAGCATATATCCACGCCTATCTCTCTGAGATTGCCTTGAAAAGA